GAGATCATGCAGGAAATAGTAGTTTTACTTAGCAATGCTTAGTATTACCTATTATTGATGTATTACAATCCATCCGGGATGTTCTATCATATATTGTATAATTTATATTTATATATAGTATTTCATCAAATATCATGTGTCTTTGTAAACTATATAAAAAAATTTTTTATTAAAATCTTTGACGCGGATGTGTTATCTCAACCTTTCTAATTAATAATATTGATATAAGCTTATTATTGTATCTCCTCTAATTCTTCTTTTTGCTGCATCAAACTCTTTTTTGTGTGTTCTTCGATATCATTAGCTTCCCAAGGATAAACTAACCAACGATCAGGCGTTTCTTTAGCTGCAAAATATCTTCCTTCCTTCGTAATAGAAAGGTCTGGCAATTCCATTTTTTTCTCCTTCTTTTTATTATGAAGTACAAATACAGCGAACTTTGTTTCAGGAACTTTAATATCGACATTCTCTGTATTATCTTGTAAAAATTTACGTTTCTCTTCCTCTATATCTTTGGTAAGCTCTTGTATAGCATAAGCAAGTGTAGTTCTAGTGTCATCAACCTCATCTACGATAAGAATATTTTTGCCTAACAATGGAGTCGTTGTTGCATGAGAAGGTCCAAAATGAAGCCATTGTGTTTTTATAACTTGTGTGCCAATTGTTGAAAGCGAATCATTATTAGCTAAATCATCTTTAATTGAATTTGACGTTGAATTATTTGAATGAATATTCGAAGGATTAGGGAGGAAAAGATCCTCATATAGAGAGAGACCAATAGCTTGAATCGGAATATTCTTATTGTTGGCTCGTTTTAAGAATGTACGCTTTTTTTTGAGAAGAAATGTAAGGAATTAATCAATTATATTGCAAATGCATTATCTGCTAAACATGATTTTCATACAGACAGCGAAATGCTTGTTACATAAAGCAAGTTTTGAAACGTGTTTTAATTATCTAAGAAAATGGAAGTACCGTATAGAACTATTGACTCAATTAATATTAAACTTTCGTCGAACACATAATTCCATTTTATTTTTTTTAAAAAAAATAAAATAAAATAAAAAAGGCGTGCCGAGTGAGAGTGATTTTTTTTTTTTTTAGGAAAAAAACTATCCTTGTACAAATAGATAAAGAAATATGTTTATTTACCAAGATTCTAGCGGGTATAAAACCGCCACCACCTATTGCAATCATGAGATCGGGCTTAAATTCTTCATTAATTTGGTAACGCTCAACTGCATCTTTTATGAGCTGGTGAACTTGGTTATAAGAGATATAAATCTTGGTGTCCTTTACCATGGTGGCTAAGAAAAGAAGAAATTAACTACTAAGATAGCTAAGATAACAATTTATCCTAAATCATGATTGGTTAGATCGAAGATTGATCTCGATCGATATGTCGAACTTTAATTCCTTAAAAATCATAAATATTTTTTTTTATATTTATCAATTTTATTAAATCCAAACTTCCTAACGTTTATTAGGAGATTTCGGCGCGATAAATCGTTAATTTATTTGAAGCCGAAAAAAAAGATCCTGATTGTATCAGTTTAATAACAAAAACAAATATCCATGTATCCTGTCGAAAGACAAAGTAAACCTTTTATAAAATACGTCTTTAAATTTGAATGAAATTGTTGCTTGCTAAAGATGCATCTATCATTAATTGAATTATCATTATTTTGAAGAGTTAGGGAGGGAAAGATCCACATAAAGAAAGATACCAATATTCCATGGTTCGTTTTAATAATAATATGTCTAAAATCAAATTTTAGTGCAAATGCTGCAATTAATCTTAAGATTTTAATCGAAAATATTTTAAAAAAAAGATGATCTCGCATCATGATTGGTTAGATCAAGGGATCGATGGAAAAAAAAATTTTTTGTCAAAACAAGTCCACCTTTTTCAATACCGAGAACATTTTGCCTTGGAAAGATTTAATTTGTCTAAAAGATGGTTCGCAAGAGTAAGCTTTGATTTCAAAATTTTTGAGGAAAGAAGTGTTTAAATTTAAAGAACTTCTTATTTTATTTTATTTTTTTTTCCTATAAAAAAATAATAATAATAAAAAAATTTTAGAAACCCAAAGCAAACGCATGTCATGCGCAAAACGTTACAATATTCAGAGAAAAGTTAATGAACATAAAAGGAAAGAAAAGAAGGAAGCAAAAAAGAATCCTAAATCTCGTAGTATGTAACATATTTATATTTGATCATTCAAGATTGCTTGTCGATTTACTTGGCGTGTTAAATTCAAACAAAAAAAAATTTGTTTCACTGAACAGAACTTAAAAAGGACCCTGGTATACCGAATTTGTATCCGTTTAAAGATCAACTCTTGAATAAAATCGATCAGCAAAAAAAAAAAGTATTATTTTCAAATTCAAATAATTTATTTCTGCAAATTTAACCTGTCTTAACCTAATAATCATTGAAACTAAAAGAGTATCTTTATAAAATACGTCTTTAGCTTGAAGATGAAAAACAAAGACAAGCGAATGCACGAAATTCATTGTTCGATAAGAATCGTAATTTAACTTTTACGTCACTTGCTAAAAATGCATCTAAACGCGATATAGTTTTCGATAATGATAATAATTCTGAGGATGAAGATGAGGGAGTAACAGCAGCTATAGATGCGGCCGCTGTTGGACAAAAAGATAACTCTCGCAAAGCATATTATAAAGAATTTCGTAAAGTTCTTGAGACAGCTGATGTAATTTTGGAGGTATTAGATGCTCGCGATCCTCTGGGTTGCAGAACTAAACAAGTTGAGAAATTGATAATAGAAAGTGGATCTTCCAAAAGAATTATCTTGGTTTTGAATAAAATCGGTAATATCCAGAGTTTAAATATATATATAATGTTGCAATTTTACTCGTTTATGTAAAGAATGATAAATTCAATTCATCAAACGTCCTTAAATTTTAGATCTTGTTCCCAGAGAAAATATAACGCAATGGTTGATATATCTCCGTAAAGAATTTCCAACCGTTGCTTTTAAATCCTCCACTCAATCACAGCGAAAGAATCTCGGACATTCTTCTTCATCGGTGTCTACCGCATCAGATAATATAATAAAACACAGCAATGAATGTTTAGGTGCTGATACACTTATTACGCTTCTTAAGAATTATTCTCGAAGTTTGAATATAAAAACTTCAATTACTGTCGGAGTAATTGGATTTCCAAATGTCGGAAAATCTTCTGTTATTAATTCCTTAAAGCGGTCCAAAGTTTGTGGTGTAGGTGCCTCACCAGGTTTAACAAAGTCTGCACAAGAAATTCACTTGGACAAGAATATAAAATTATTGGATTGTCCTGGAATTGTATTTACTCGTAATCAGTGGGGTGACGGAAATGCGGAAATTTTATTAAGAAATTGTATCAAAGTTGAACTATTAGATGACCCTATTCCACCTGGTTGTGTATAATATATATACTTTTTAAAAAGATTTTATTCGTTTAAACAATCGAATTAATCATTAACTTGGAAACTTTTATTTTATTACTTTATTTTATTTTTCTTTTTGGTAGTTGAACTAATCGTTTCACGTTGTAGACCTGAACAACTAATGTCCAGATATAGTGTTCCAATGTTCAGGAATACTAACGAATTCCTTTTACTTCTAGCTCGTCAAAGGGGCAAATTAAGGCGTGGTGGTATTCCTGATATTGATTCAGCGGCAAAAATAGTTTTGCACGATTGGAATTCTGGCAAGATACCATATTATACTGTACCACCAACAACTGCAAAAGATAATGTGATTCTTGATAGTACTATAGTTTCAACATGGAGTAAAGAATTCAACTTGAATGAGGTGTGCAATGAGACTGAAGATCAAACTATTCTTGCTAGTGTAAAAACCAATAATGATTTTGGAAGCTCTGCTATTGTAATGGTATGTGTTGCATCAATGTAATGGTTGTAATTCAACTTTTATAAATAATTCGTACCTTTATTTATTGATTGGATTTAAGACCGGAGAATTTCCAGAAGTAGAAATGGATGAATTTCTTGATAACGATGACTCTCAAAGGTAAATAATTTTCATAAGAAATGTTTTGATCTACATTCTCTCTCGATATATCGAAATACGGCATATATAGGTAATTAAAATTTTGTTAATAGATAATATTAATGGTAAGCTAGTTTTCATTTACATATAATGTTCTATTAATGTATTTAATTTATTAATTATTTCTTATAAAAATAGGGAAACATATATTAAAGTTACAATTTATAATAACTTTATGAGGTTATGATTTCATATCAAAATTTATCGTGCTTTGGTTTATCGAGAGTATTCATCTATAACCGTCACATTCCGAAATTAATGATTACATAATACTTGCTACTATTACTGACGATCATAACTAATAAGGAAGCAATTTGTAAAGATAAACGTTAGATCATCCCGTGATTTCATAAATATAGAGGGAGGGTGCAATCATTAAAATTTATGACGGGTATGGGTGAATGAATGTACCACAAAAAATATCATTATGTTTTTATTAATATAGATTTACATTGAAAAATTAACAGCGATAAAATTCCAGAAGCAATTCCAATGGATGTTGAAGAAAAATCAACGGAGCTTGTTGTTCCTCAAATGAAGCCCAAGACAGTTACTTTTGCTAATCCCCCTCAACAGATATTTTCAAAACTAGAGTTAGAACTTAATCCGCAAGTGAATAAAAATAAAAAAAAGGAGTCTAAAAAGGCGAAGAAAGCATCTAAAAAAAAGGATCAAATGAAATCTGACGATACGATTCTCATGGAAGAAGATCTAGTTAAAAAGGATGATGAAACACGAGATGTCGCGGGAAAAACCAAAAATGAAGATCATTATGATTTTTCCGAATTCTTTGGAAAATTATCTTAGTAAATATTTTAGCAATGATTTATTTATTTGATACCATGATAAATATATAATTTAATTCTTTCTTTTTAGGTATGTCTAATCGTTTTCTGTTACACTAAATTGAATGATAAATCAGCTAATCGAACTTGATATAAATATATTTAATAAATAATATACATAAATTTATTTTTGTAATCTGTACATTTTTGAATAAATTACAAAAAAAAGGCAATTATATCTCCTTTTTCGGAAATGAGAATAATTTTTTTCTTAATTCTGCTAGGAATTACATCATTTGACCAGAGATACCATATTATCAGTAAATTTTAGAATGTAAGATTTTTGAGCAACCTAATTCCCTTTTCTCACTTCACAACATATGGTAGCAAATCTGACTTATCAAAACCATTAAAAGTTCCTATACGCAAATATGGGCAAAAAGTCGAAGGATAAAAAAATTCATAAACATAAACATAAACGCTCGCATAGAGATTCTTCTCATAGTGGTAAGAAATTGTTCCTTAAATTAAAGATTTTTACGCGAGATTAAAAGACTTATGAAATGGTTATACATAAATTACTTCGCATACACCGTAGATTCGTCTAAACAACATAAAGAGTGTTTCTGACAGTAAGATTTTATTAAGTATAGACATATGGGTCGTTTGCTATATTAAAATTAGGTTACGAGACATAGTAAATCATATGATTCGAACATGAATTTTAATAGAAAACCTCCCATATAACTATTTAATTACGATAGTATAATTTTTTTTTTTTTTCAAATCCACCACGATCTATTTTTTTTTCTTTTTTAAAAAAAAGAATTCTTTAGTCACTAGTCTTCAAAAAATTTTTTTTTTACTTCTGCGAATTTGCTTGTAGCTAATATGCTAATAATAAATTTATCCATTATTACTTTTGTTTTTTATTTTAGAACACCCTAGTAACGAACAAACAATAAATGAACAGCCACGACTTGAGCAACCTCGTACGAGAATTAGACTTTCATACAGACGAACTGATGACGATGACAATCCGAGGGTGGAAAATAATTCTCAGGTGCAAGATAATAACGAGGAGGAAGATATTGTCGATGATCAAATGGATGTAAATGTAGAGGATAACGCTATTGCCTCTACTTCGAGAGAAAACCCTCGAAGAACGATATTGAGATTGAAATTTAACCCTGATTCACCATCAAAAAAGAGTAAAAAGCGTAAACATAAACATAAACGTCGCACCGAAGTTATTGAGGCTGCATCATCGCATTCTCATGAAAAAGCCAACAAAGGGAAACGTAAAGCACAAGATCTTATTGAAGGTCCAAATTTTGAAGAATCTGATCGAAAACAAAATGATAATGATGACGATATCAAATCAACTCATTCTCGAAAGAAGGTTAAACATCAAAGGAATATTGAATTGAATGAAAATGTTGCTGTCAGTGAAAATATTAACACACAATCGTCGCTGAATAAACAGTCAAGACAAGGTTCACATAATGTTGTAATTGTAGAAGATTCCTTGAAAGACGTAAATTTATCTAATGGAGATAATATGGTTACTTCAACAAATGAGAACGTTACCATGTCCCTTAATAAGGAAATATCGAAAGAAGTGCAAGATTATAAGAATAAAAAGGAGATTGAGAAATCATCAACTCAAGATTTATCTAATCAAAAACACATAAGTGGTGAAGATACAAAGAAACAATTAAAGAGGGTCTCCGGTAAGAAACCCCTCGAACATATAGAAATTGGGCCTTCAATTTATTCGCAAGATCGCAAAGAAGTTTCTGGTATAACGTCATCTTATCAACTTAGAGAAAAGCGTTCATATCCACCTAGTTTTAAAGATGCTAATAAATCGGATGAATCACGTCCCTCAAAAGTTCACAAAACTATACAGTCATTTCAAGAAGGTGTTTGTGTAATCGCATCACCTAAAAGTTCCGAAATTCACATATCACAGCAACATAAGGTGGCTGCAACTAAATATCCTGATATATCCGAAGATGTAAATGGCAAGTCGACAATCAAAGATGTAACTACATCATCATCTATCAAATCCGGGTCGGTACGTAAGCTTGGAAGGCCTCCAAAATTACTACAAGACACTCGTAATAATATTCAACGTAATTGGACATGGCAGAAAAAGAAGAAGGATCTCAAGACGATCTTGAACAAGTTATTGGACTCTTTTGAAAAGTAAGCACCAATTAACTATATCATTCTTCGACCGATATGACCCCATTCAATAATTAATACATTAAGACTATTCCGCGCAAATTTTAAATATCGGTCCGTTAAAACATTGATTATTTGCGTTTATTAATAAATGTATTTAAAGGAAAGATGCATATGGTTTCTTTTTGGAGCCTGTTGATACAAGCATCGTGACAGATTACTCGACCATTATTACAAATCCCATGGACCTCGGAACGATGCGTAGGAAGGTGGAAAATAATGAATATCCATCCATTGATGCGTTCAAGGTTGGTTATACAATTTTATATCGTAAAACATGATACTATTTTAACATTTAACATGATTTACATTATCTGATATTTACCGATTTCGTTAGGATGATCTTGCAATTATTTGTAATAACTGCAAGACATATAATGCTCCTGAAACTTTATATTATAAAAGTGCCGAAAAACTTTGGGCCTTTGGCGAAAAATCTATTGAACGAGAAAGAGATAGTATTCTATTAGAAGAAGAAAAGGCAAAGGCATTGGAAGAAATTATTGATATTGAATATGGAGGCAAAAAGGTAGAGTTTTCAGATAATCCATATAAACATTCTTAATTTCGTTAACATGATTTTAATTACTAATTTATATTGTCAAATAGGCTAATATTAACAATTCTAGCAGAGGTCACTTCTCTTTTCCTTTATGATGACTTTCAAACTTTTAAATTGCTAAATGTATAAACATAATTTATTCATTCATAGGCTCCTCGGTTTCTTCAAGGCCCATAAGACAACCTAGAAGAACGAAGCGAGGAGATCCGCGCAAACAATTTGCGCAGGATGGTTCAGTTTTGCCTTGTAATAAAATAAAATTTCTTTTCGTATTTGTTATTATTAGTTATATATTGCACTTTCATAATCGTTCTAACATGCAAATATGTAGTTGGAAACCCGGAAGAACTTTTGCCAAAAGCACAGCCCTTTGGCGAGACACCATTACTTACAGTTATATCATCAAAGGCACAACGTCCAGGTAAAGATGTTTAGATTTTAGTTTATAAGATAAACTTTTTTTTTTGAAGGATCAGTCTGATAATTATCTATCAATTTTTAATAATTAAGCACGATTTGAAGATTATGGGCCATTCGCGACGTTGGGAATGGACGCGCCCTATTATTCACCATCCGAAAAAGAATATTTCTATAATATATATGGTGATGAAAGGGGATACGCTTATTCTCAAAGCATAAAGAACTTTGTCAAAGATATGGGTGACGAAATGAATACGCAGGTTGACAACTTCCTTAACAAATTGACTCGAGGTGCATACAGTGTCGATCAACAAATTGCGAACATGGAAGCAGAACCTATTGATACGTCCGCTGTCTTGGACACCGAATTTGGCCCAGTTAATGTTGGTAATGAACTCAGTCAAATTCGACGTCTCCCTGAACTTCGAAAACATAGAGCAGAGTTGGAAATGTGGCAAAACGAAAAAATCGACCTAGACTTTCTAGTGAGCGATCAGGAAGCCAGTTCCATGTTGGCAACTCTCGGAAATACTAGTTTTCAAGAAATGTTGGATCTAAATGCCAAGTCATTGGCAGAGTTAATCGCGGTAAAGAATAACGAAAATGCTGTTGCCCGTCAAGGGACACAGAAACAGCTTGGTATTTTTATCATATGAACTTCTCGATTTTAATCTTATCATGATGTCATTGTTAAATATTAATATAATTTTTTTGTCATAACTTAGTCGACGATGTGCAACATCGTCTGTTCCAACTTGCTCAGCACGCGCCTAGGAGCGAAATCAAATCGCATACAATATCTCCGATGCAATCATATGTGATGCCAGTTCCTGTGGTCGTCCCACAGGCAACAGAAACACTGATACCAAAACATGCTACGTCGGGTGTTGAGCAAAACGATCCAATCAGTGCATTAGCGCCGTCTTTGCCCGAATTTCCTGCTATAAGCGGAAAAGGCCGTACAAAGCCGTGCAATTATAATCCTGGTATTATATTATATTATATATTATTTTTTTCGAACTTTAATTATAGTTGCAAAAATTTTTACATGGTCTACTTTTAGCTGGAAAGTGTGCCAATTGTCAGACTATCGATACTCCCGGATGGCGAGCGGGAGAAACTTCTGATCAAAAATTGTGTAATGGTAAGCTCGATATTTTTTCCTTTCCTTTTGATGATTGGTATTAAACTAATGTATATAAATTATTTTAGCATGCGGATTGTACTACGCAAAAAACAAATCTCACAGACCTTCAAATCTGTGGGCCACTTCATCTCGTTGAAGTTTTTTTTTTTTCTTTTTGCTTTTTTTTCTTTTTGCTTTTTTTTTTTTCTTTGCTTTTTTTTTTTAAAAAAAAAAAAAAAATCTGTGGGAAGGTTTGATCTACGTTTTTCATGTAAAATATACATTCATATATTTTATTAAATGTAAAAATCATTGTATAAGCTTATCATAATAATCAAAATAATAAAGTTTGACATTGAACAATGTGATCTCGCGGATTTTTTTTTTGCAAAGATAAAGTTGATGGCATGCATTTTTAATATGCTTTAAGTCAATTTTTTACGCAAAGACCTAATTTCAAAACTGTGAAAACCGATACAGATGTGATACACAGATGTAATATGGCACGAGGTTTCACGATAAAAATATCTTTCACGGTTCGGAAAGAAAGTTGATTATAAAAGTCTATTGCATCCTGTCGTGCGACATTGAGTGAATAACATATGTGGTAATTAGAATCAATTGAAGTCAAATTTTCTTTTAACCGAGAAAACAATTATTCCGA